CAGTGTGAGTAGGTTATCATAAGATGAAATATGCAGGCAGCAAAAAAAAAAGTTGTTTTTTCCAAAATTTGGTTTTCCTCATCCCAGTGGGATGAAACAGCTAATATGGGTGTCCCAGCCAAGATCACTTTCTTGAGCCGATTTTGTTCTTTTTCTTTCATACTAGCTTGAAGGGATGCTGAAGAGCGATAAGACAACTTACTGGGTACAGCCACTTCTCAGACTGGTGTGAAAAAAACTGTTCCTTAATTTCCTTGCATGAACTAAGCACCTACTAAGAAAGCAAACAGCAATGAAAGCCAGATGTGAAAATTTGGGATTCTGAAATTGTATTTTAGCTTTAAGTTTCTGACTTTTGACACCTCAACAATATTGTCAAAAAATTTTGGTGTCCCTAAAGATGGGTGATGGAGTTTTGTTTGTGTGTGTATGTGTGTGTGTGTGTGTGTTTCTGCTGTCTCTCAGTATTCCAGGACAGGTGCTAAATACTTAAATGTATTCATGCCACTAAGCCTCATAACAAATCTGTGAGATAGATAATAATATTAGTTCCATTAATTTTAAGTTAGCTTAATAACTAGCCTGAAAATATTTAGCTCTTACATATGGCATGCAAGTCCATCAGTCAGACTCTAGTTGACCTTTTATTTTTATGTTTCCCAGGATTTCCAGTTCTCAATAGCATCCCACTTGCTATAAGCGGTCCTAGAAATTGGTGAATGGTGGCAATTGTATGGGAACATTATTGGTAAACAAATATCAAACTTTTCACTTAATAATAAAAGTTAAAATAATATTTCTACATCTAGAAAACTCCCTGGGTTCAATCAAATATCATTCAGTTTACCAGAAATCAAAACACATACAGCTCTTTCAAGTTCAAATGAGTCTCATGCTTATGAAATAATGGGTTGAATTTCAATATTGGCCTATTTTATCTTTGAGAACTGAGCCCAAATAGGAAAACTTCAGGCAGGCAGCTTCTAAGATGGCCCTCAATGACTCCTGCTCCCTGGTGCTCATGGTAGACTTCTCTCACATTGTGCCAAACTTTATCTGTGTAATTATTAGGCTAGGGCAGAGTTAATAGCATGTTTCTTCAGAGACTAGATTATAATTGATATTGCAGCATCTATCTTGTTTGTTCTTCCTTTGGGAGAAACCAGTTTCCATGTTGAACAGTGGTAAAGAAGACCTACATGGTGAAAGAACTGAAGTATGTTCTGTCAAGCCAACAACCAGTGAGGAACTGAGCCCTCTACCTAACAGCATTATAGGGGAGCCATCTTGGAAGCACATCCCCAAATTCAGTCAAGTGTTCATATGACCTCAGCTCTAGCTGACCACCCAGCTAGAATAAGATATGACAATGTGAACTAGGACCACTAACCAGGTTAGATTCCTAACCTGCTAAATTTTGGAGTTATTTATTACACAGAAATAGGTATATTGGACCTCTTTGTTTATGCTCCACAGCTTCTCCCAAACTCACCAGAGATTTACTAGTTAATTCTTTCATTCAACAATTGTTTATTGAATGTCAATTTGTATGTGCCAACTCAAGTTGTCAAGAACCTAAGAATATAGTCATAAATAAAATTAGTAAAGTTCCTGCTTTCATAGATTTTACATTATAATGGAGGGTTATTTATAGTTATTTGCGTATTTGTCTTATCTTCTTGGCAAGATCACAAAATACTTGAGGAAAGGAACATTTATTTTTATTTCCCTACAGAATTTTGCATGGTAAATCTAGTTGTTGTTTTGTATTATCCTGTATGTTTTTTAGTATCTGTGATTTATAGATTCACAGAAGATTTCAAGATTCTTGAATGCAGAAACACACACACTCTCTCTCTTTCTCTCTCTCTCTCTGTGTGTGTGTGTGCGTTTGATGAAACAGTGTAAAATTCCCTAAACACAGGTCTGCCTAGCCTGGCGCCTATTGCCATTTACCTTGGCTCACTGTCCACCTCCAGCATGCTGAACAGTGAGAATTATTATTGTAAGAATCCTATGCTGAAATATTCTCTTAGGATTACAGCTCTGTTTCCCCATCTCATCCTTCCCAACAAGATAAAAGTCCCAACCTTTCTACAGAAGCTCTACTTCCCCATTTGGTCCAGTGCTGAGCTAATCTTTGCTGAGAAGGGCAGAATTCATGAGCTATACACTACATATAGATCAGAAAACCAACTCAAGCAAATGGTACTGGATTTTACTTAACTTCATATGTAAATTTTGGATGCCATACCCTAAGGTTGTTTTAATAACTAAGTATATTATACATTAAATGCCTAGAACAGTGTCTGGCAAATAGAAAGGTCAGAATATGTTAGCAACTATTAATAAGTACAGAGGGCCTACAAGTGCCCAGTGCACATAAGCAATATAATATCTTCAATATAATATCTTATTTAACCAAAATATATCCCACCAGTACTTGGATTCTCATAGGCGAATGACACTGAAACAGAGGCTGAATTAAGTAATACTAAACACACAGGTGAATGAATGATGAAGTTGTTCTTCTCCCCCTGACCCCTCTTTGTTTTCTACACCTTAGTTGTAGATCCGGATGAAGTGAAGGGACAAACCAATGTTTATTTCTGCTTCTTTTAGGGCAAGGTCTTGGAGTTTGAGACTGTGTGTTCTATGTCATGGTCAATATTCAAGCAATCATGGTGTTATCTGTTTCATTTCCAATACAGCACCCACGTTCTGCATATGCTGTTTACTCCCCTGAGCAGCATCCTGAAACACTGAAGCAGATGCTCTGTGTGCAGCTTCACCTAACTGTGCGAGGGTTGCAGCTCTCAAATTGAAAATAAACCACAAGTATACATGAGGTTAGTAGGTGGGAGGGAGGTGGGGGGGCAGGGAGGAGAAAGAGGCAGGAGAAGGGCAAATTGTTGCCTGGCTCTGAGAAGACATGTCTTTACAAGAGCTTACCAACATAAAGAATTGAACAGAATGTGGCCCAAACTAAGCCTGTAAATGCCAAATAATAAGAATCCTTTATCAGGAACATTAAGAACCCTTTAGGAGAGAAGCATAAAGAATTCCAGGAAGCACATATTCAAAGTCTGTTTCCTAGGCAGCTGAAGCCACCCACCTTCCCTTGAACAAATGGAGCCAAATTCGGTTCTCAAATGTGCCATTTGACTTGCTTTTCAAAACAATCCTAAGGGTTCTGCTGGTATCTTTTGCTTTCTGAAAGAAGCCTGTAATGGAGGGATTTGCTGCTGCTCTCTCTCTGGTCATTAGAAATCCTTTAATCCCAAGCCCTGTTTCCCAACTGCCCCACCTCAATTTTAGCCCCATGTCTAGAGTAGACTCATGCTGTGCTGTTCTCAAGTGACTGTGGACATAGCACCTGACTGTGGATGTCTCTCCTTTGAAGTTCTTGGGAAGGAGTAGTGCAAATCACCATTGTTGGTTTCTGGGGCTATGAGGGTAGCTTTAAAAGTCTGTCTTTAGTTGATATATGAGACAAGGAGGCAACTCTTAGGGAGGAAGTAAGAGTTTGCTTAGATAAATTATAGCACATCTAAGTGACAAAATATTACACAGCCATTAAGAAGCATGCTGTATGAGAATAAATTAGATGAAGAGTTCAGAGTATTAAATTTAAAAAGAACAACCAAATTCCAAAATAGATTTGTTCCAGTCCATAAAAATACGTGTTTCTAGAAGGAAAATAACAAAGTGTTCTTTGTGGTTACATCTGGGTAATAAGACTATGGTTATTTTTCAATTCCTTCTTTGTTTTTCTTTCTTTTAAATTTTCTATGATGAACACATTAAATTTTAATAAAAAGGGATATTTATGTAGCAAAAATAGAAATAAAAATATATATAATGTATAAAATGTGTGAGAGTAAAGCCAGGTTCCAACCATATAATTTTCCCTGAACTCTCATCCTTTTCTCATCTCCCTACCCTCCAGCACTTAGTCACATCTTTACAAGTTGACATATCATTAAACATTGTCCTAAGTCTTTGGTGACTTTCTGAAGACAGGTTGTTTCCTAGGGACTGTATCTTATTTTTCTTTTGCATCTAACCCCCCACCCACCCACCTAGGTCAACCACAGACATAAAGCTGTAGACATAACAGGAAGAGGAGTGGTCAGTCTACCAGGGCAAGGGGCAATGTGAGGATGGAAAGGAGTTAAGAAATTTTGGGGGAGGGGTGAGTCATGTTGTCCAAGATGAGGAAATATGGAATTATAAGTAAATTTGTTCATTCCTCACTCTATGTATTCCCTAGAAGAGAAGAAGCAAAGGAATCCTCTGAATCACATTTCAGTTTGAAAGAAATATTCTCTCTGTGTCTCTCTTTTTCTCTCAATTCCGCTGGCTTGCTCTCTCACTCTTACACACACATCTCATTAGGCTCCCTCGTATCCGGTAGAGAATCGGTAGTACTCAGTAAATAGTCCCAAATTGCTGGAGACCAGCTTTTGGCAAAATGTCATGTCAGGAGTCCCTGAAAGGATGAGACGGCCTAGGTGACACGTTAAGGGGCTGAGGGGAAGGGGATGAGGTAGTGAGGAGACACTGACACTCGATGAGGTGCAAGTATCTTCTACTGAGGGGCTCAGCAGGTTCTTTATTTATACTTTTTTTTTAGCAAGCCATAAGATTACATTATCATGTGCATAGAAACAAAGCAGAAACAATCAGGGCATCCCTTTTCCCATAGATTTTTGGCCACTATGTGCTTTCAGCAAGAAGGCAACCTTCAAGGTTAATAAAAAACTAAGCCTTACACTAGAACTCACTGTTTCAGCTAAACAATAACCTAAGACAGTAGATAGCCGCTGGTACATCCCTATCAGCTAAAGCCTAAGCAAGAAAAGACTTTTTTTATACGCATGGCCTTCAGCCGGGGACCGGCTGCTACTCAGCTATCAGAACTTTTTCTTCCTAGAAACTCCTTAACTCAAATAGCTTCATTTAAAAACTTACAATCCACTGCCCAATATACCCTCTAATAAATTTTTCTCTCTCTATGACCAAGAACAAAAAGCAAAGGGATGCCAAATCTTCAGCCCCAAGGTGTGAGGCCCTTTAGTTTCGGCCCCACGGTGTGAGGCCCCCTCTCTTAGCTGCTTGTCAGTATTCTATCTGGCTGGGGAAACAAGGCCCCCTGCAGCACCAAATGAACAACACAACCTCTCACTGTCCAGGCACCATGCCACCACGACACCGGGTCAGACTGGAGGACGCAGACCAAAGCACTGAGGCAATGACCAGGCAGTTCAGAGGCCTCTCTTGGGCAAGTTCACTGTGGCCAGGGTGGAGCCGACAGTGCACGCAGGTAAGTCTCCTTTCAACATCCCCTACCTTCCCAGGTGGGAGCCTACTCCTAAACATCCACACAGGCCCTTCCTGTGGTTGTGAGGGAGATTTAGCACCCGCCATGGCAAACAGGTAGTGCAGCAACCAGATGTGTTTTCTGTTTTGGTTTGGTTTGATTTGACTCTGTATGTGGTGTTTTATAAACACCTTATTTTAAGTGCTTTGTTTTCTATGATGCAGGTGTGCCCCACCTCTCCCTAATCTTTGTCCCTGCAGTGTCTCTTTAATTCACATTACCTGAAAGTATTTGGGTGTATATCCTGTGCTCTGGAGGAAGCCGTGGGGAAGAGGGACTATAATGCTTTGGAGATGATGATAATAGTATCAGTTATAGTAGCAGACTTTAGCAGATTTTATCCTAAGAGTTTGCTTTGATCTATCATCTAAACTTTAAAGCAGGCAGAGCCTAGCTGGTTGGGGTTCTGCTGTTCATATCCCTTTAGACCTTTCTTACTAGTTCTATGTCCCCCATCCCACACCCCAGTTTCTACATAAGCAGGTGTATAAACTGGGCACTTAAGGCTTTTTTTCAGAGGACTGACATCAAGTTACCAAAACCTGGTAACTTTTCCCTACCCCTTCCTGCCAAAGACTGATTGATGACAGGATGATATGCACTTCAGAGCCCCACAAGCCCCCAATCACAGAGCCCACAGGATCAATCAGGCTGGGACTTTGCCTCTTCCCATCCCTGTCACACTTGAGTACCTCATCTCACTTATGAAAAAACTGAAGCCCAAAAATCACTCACCCTGGTGCACAAAATGGCAAGTTGCAGGACTTAGGTCTGCTTGAACTTCAGAGGACTTTCCAAAATCTTGTTAAAGTATGACAGGGAAAAGCATATGTAAAATAAGGCCTGGACTCTTTGTTTTTATACATAGCAGGTCAATCATTCATACAGGACCAGTACTAGAGAGTTTCTCTCTTTTTATCTCCCTTTCCTTCCTTTCCTCCCATTTAAAGACATTTTACTTGGGAAAACTGTGGACACAGAAAAGGGTCTGATTGAGCAACAAAATATTTCCCTTTTGTAAAGATGCTGACTAAGGGTTTAGATGTATTGTTCTAGAATCTCATGGTGGTAGATGTATTGTTCCACGTAGTCAACAAACTTGATCAGTCATGTCACCATATTGGCAAAGAAGACAACTCACAGCTGAGCTAGTTTTTTTGATATTTAATATTTGTTTAAAACAAATAGTTGAATAAAAGCTGACTCAGTCAGAGATTCAATCTATTGTAGGCTGTTCAACCTATAGAGAGTAGAGACCTACTCTGTGCAAGCACTGTGGTAGGATTTGGGGATATAGTTATGAACAAGACTGATGTTTGCAGTTATAACATAAAGAGGTGATTTCTTGAGGCAGTGGTGATGGGGACAATAATCACTGCTTTCCATGCTTTCTCATGATCTGTGACGATTAGCATGGCCAAGTTCTCCCAGGCAGTGTTGCAGGTCTGTTTTGAGTTCCATCAACCTCCATTCTTTATTATCACTCTTTAAAGTCACACAAAAGCACAGAGACAACAACGGGCTAATCATGACCATCCTCCCCTACACCCCTTTAAGTTAATTAAATTCTTCCTATATTGAAACCTAAATCCTTATCATAGTGGTAGACACAAGTACAACTCAAATGACTAACCAAAATCCCAAAGACAAAGATTCTATAATATTGGAAAGTCGTAACAAAACTGAGAAAATGGTCTGGTTTCTCCTGTGTTTATAATATACTGTAGGTGCCTTGAATGCTTTCCCACCTCCTAGAATTTGCTATATCTTGAGTGCTTCATAGCTACCATTTTTACTGTGATTTCAAACACAAATACAATTCTTTCTAATAATAATAATTTTTTTAAATCTGCTGTTTTAAAGACTTTTATTATGGCATTTATTTTCTTTTTAAAATAGTAATTTCTTATAAATATGCAAAATATAATTTAATTTTTTTCATATTACTCTTTAAAAGTATAGTTATTATTTTCATGATTTGACAGATGAGAAAACTGAAGTTCAGAGATTTTAAATTACTTGTCTGATATCATGTAATTCTTGTTTTCACTGTGTAAGTTAGTGGTCAATAACTTTACTTGAATGGATGTTTTTATTTTCTTTCACTTTTTTTTACTTTAGCATGTGTCCAGGAGTATATTTTATTCTCTTGTTTAGTTTCTATTTTATTCTACCTCAGTTAAAAGAAAAAAAATCAAAGAAAGCCTAGCTTGTTTTTTTTTTTGTTTGTTTTCTTACTATGTAACATTACCTTAAAATTTGGTTATAAGGATCATAGCATTTTAATAGTTTCCACTCTGCTTCCGTAATTGGACAATTATAGGAAATGGCCCTTTGTTTCTGTTTCACTGATCAGTAAATTCTTATAATAATTAATTGTTTTTGCTCTTAAGCTGAATTAATTAAAACATGATGTTGAATCAAAGTTATTGATACTGAAATTAGGTCAACTTTATTATCAATTATAACATAGCAGCTATTTATATATTAAATATATATGTCAGTTTAACATTCAGTTTAAAAGAACAACATTTCTTGAAAAATTAGCTTGCAAACTCTATGGAGCAAAAAATATGTCTATTTTGCTTTCATGAATGTAAGTGTAGCACCTGACACAGAGTTGGCATTACCTTGAGGGCATCAAAATCTGAGTGGAAAAAGACAGGTAAACAATGAAGGAGGTGGAAAAGGTTGGTGTGGAAAACCAAATGAACAGCAAATAAAATTAGCCAAAAAGGCTTAGTTGAGATGAAGGTTAAAATTACTGACCTTTGAAAAGGAAATTCTGAACTTTAACTTCACAACTATACAGCTTTCCTTTTCCTGTATTTCCCTGCTCTAACAAAGTCTCTAATGTTCCAGCGTCACACAGCTGTGCTATGTGAATGACAATGATAGGGAGTCCTAGGTGAGATGCTAACGTCCAGTCAGTTTTACACCTTTAAAAAAAAAAAAGATTTGTTTATTTATACATACAAGAACTGGGGTACAGATCAGAGGTGTGGGAGGGTGAGAGGACTCACCAGAGACAGAGTGGGGAGCAGAATAGGCAGACTGACTGAAAAAACTCCTGAGGGGAGCAGCGGGTGAGATAGGAGAGGTCTGCTGTGTCATGTGGTTATCTCCCTGGTTGGCCGGGGATTGAACTCATGCTGCAGAGGCTGTGGACAGCTTCATAGTGCTGTACTTAACCCCTTGTGCCACGAGGGAGGCCCTCAGTTTTACACCTTTAAATAACTCCTTCCCTATAGGGTTATGTTGCTGTCAGTAAATGGAATTGTCAGGCTAGAAATTGGAATCTTGCTGATGGACATAAAGGGGATGATCTAGGGAGGAGAGCTAAGATCAACTATGGCTATAGGCACCTCAAGATATTGTGGGATCGGTTCTGCAGATACTCATTGCAATAAAGTGAATATCGCCAAAGGGCAAAGGGCAATAAGGCAAGGGATGCCTGTAAATAGATCAGAGAGCTAATAATCTGTGACCTCCTGGAGCTACATCTCTAGTGGGGTAGTTTGTCTTGTGACCAGTTGCAATCAAGTGAAACATATATAATAATATGTCTACTGGAAGCTACTGGAAGCTACTGGAAGACACAGCAGGCTACCCCAGGAGCTTTAGTCCACAAGGGATGGCGCTCAATCTGAGTCTCACAGGTTGAATCAGAGACAGAAAAACTTCTACCCCAATCCCAGACACAGTTGGAGTCTGACAGAGCTGAAGCAGTGGTGGTCAATACTCACTCAGGACCTGGGCAGAGTTAACCTGGCAGGAACAGAATGAGAACTTTGAATCCAGCAGGGAAGGGACTGAGAAGATGAACTGAAATTTGACCCAGTTTTGCGTAAAGAGGATATCTTAATTTTTCTATGTACATGAACATCATTCATAACTGGGAAAGGAGTGCCAGGAGGGAGAGATGCAAGAACTATGAGGAAAGGAAGCCAAATAGATATGAAGGGAAAAAAATCCCAGTTGTGCTGTACAGAACATGATTTATGCTATTTCTGAGCCACACACCTCTTATATGAAAAGAGATGTGTGTAAGTGTTTAGATGCGCTGTGTTGTGCTTGTGTTAAATCACTGGAGATGAGGTAACATAGAACATTCAAAAACACATTAAGAGAAAAGGAGCCAGACAGAAGTAAGAAAGACAGAAAAATTCAGGTGGTGCAGTATGGGAAGATGATGTCAGAGCTACTGTCACAGACCAGAGGGTGCCAAGCTGAAGTGGCACACTTAAGCAAATATTTAAAGTAATAACGATAACATTCAGTTCTGGCAGGGATGTTTTAAACTGGTCCTTTTAGACTACAGGTCCCCAAATAATGTCAACTCGTCTCATTAGAATGTTTATAAGAAAACCATAATCACCAGAGATCACCTGGAAATGCCAAAAAACACAAACAAAAAAAACCCCCAGCTAACCAAGGATTGATTCCCAGCCAGGGTCACTCTCTCTACGGTTCGCATGCCCTCCGCGTGCCTGTATGGCTTTTCTTGGGGACTCAGGTTTCCTCCCACATCACAAAGATGTGAATATTAGGTTCATAGTGTCATCAGTGTCTCATGGTCCTGGTTGAAGTGAGTTTTGGGTGTGTGTGTGTGATGCACCCTGAAATGGTCGAACCTGGCCAGGGCTGGCTCTTACCTTGACCATCAGCTATAGGGATGGCTGTGGCCACTGGGGACCCTCACCTAGAATAAGCAGGTTGGGAAATGAATGAATACAAAGATTATTTTATATAGTAGTGTTTTGTATCTTTATTTAGATCTTTCGTGGTGTTTTTGTGACAAGAAATATGCCATAGTCACTCTTGTTTAGCCTATGGTCAAATTGGTCTCATTATGTCATTTCTTAAATTTGATGTTTCTAAGAACCTATTAAATATGTTAACTGAGGATTATATAGCACTAGTGAGAGAAGTAGAGTCTTCCT